TGCGCAACATGCGCAACATGCACCACATTCGCCACATCCACTACGGACGCAACCTAACAACGTGTCAAAACCACAAGCACCCAAACCACAAGCACCCAAACCACAAGCACCCAAACCACAAGCACCTGCACCAACACCGAAAAAGTCGGCTCCAGAGAGAAGAATCAGCACCATGACGGAAGCGCAGATCATGGAAAAGTTACGATCCGTCGTCTCACAGGGTGATCCAACCACTCTTTATAGTAAGATTAAGAAAGTTGGCCAAGGGTAAGTATTCGGTTAACTAGATATATTTAGTGAATTTTACATATGTTAAGAGAGATCCTGTTTCTTGCAGTGCCTCCGGTTCCGTATATGTGGCAAAGTCGCTGGTTACTAATGCTAAGGTCGCAATTAAGCAAATGGACTTATCTCACCAACCTCGAAAGGAACTTATTGTCAACGAAATTCTTGTAATGAAGGAATCGCAACATCCGAATATTGTCAATTATCTTGATTCGTTTTTGGTGAAAAACAATGAATTATGGGTCGTAATGGAATATATGGAAGGTGGTGCATTGACTGATGTGATCGATAACAACAGTTTAGAAGAAGACCAGATAGCGGCCATCTGCCATGAGGTAACTTTTTAATTTTACGCATTAGACTTTACTTTTGGCAAATATTTACAGATATTTTATTTCCAATTTAGACTTGTAACGGTCTACAACACCTTCACAGTCAGAATATCATTCATCGCGACATTAAGAGTGACAATGTTCTTTTGGATGCCTATGGACATGTTAAAATAAGTGTGTATTAAACATTATGAGTAAATTCGTGTTTTTGTTGAGCTGCTAATTAACACATACCAAACTTTTCTTTTTGACAGCTGACTTTGGTTTTTGCGCCAAGCTCACCGACCAGAAAAACAAGCGTGCGACAATGGTCGGAACACCGTATTGGATGGCTCCTGAAGTTGTGAAGCAGAAAGAATATGGCGCTAAAGTAGACATTTGGTCATTGGGCATTATGGCGATTGAAATGATAGAAAATGAACCGCCGTATCTCGACGAAGAACCATTGAAAGCACTATATCTTATTGCTACAAATGGTACTCCTACATTAAAGAAACCAGAGAAATTGTCGAAAGAACTTAAAAGCTTTCTTGCGGTTTGCTTATGCGTGGATGTGAAGAGTAGAGCGACTGCTGGCGAACTTCTGAACGTACGTATATTTATGATTGTTGGAGTTGCTAACAAGTTTTTTTGACTGATTGCATTCAACTGTAACTATAGCACGAGTTTTTGAGAAAAGCCTGTCCACTTTCCGATCTTGCTCCCCTGCTTAAATTTAAAACCGCAAAAGACGGGAGAACATAAACATGTCAACACGGTACCATTGATAGGCTGAATGTAACGAGATACCATCTGACATGCACTTTTACGACTGACTGGATTTTAATTATACTAACGTTTGGTTACCTATAAACCTTTGACTTGGTGGTTGTTTGTAATACTATTAACTAGCCAGATGAAAGTGCATTATATAGAAAATACTAATAATAGTAAGTGATGTAATGGACAAAAAAATCGAGCAGTTATCAGCTTTTGGCAAAATGTGTTTCCATGTTGTGTATATATATACCTTGAATTTCTATATATACTGTACTATCTTTCCTTCACTTCAGATTTTAAAAGTTCTTATTTATTTTTTCATACAAAAAAATATATTTCGTAGGATATCATTGTTCCAACAGCTGTCTAAATCTATGACGAAAAGCAAGTATATCGATCAATTAATCTAATAGAATATACAAATCATTTATATTCATAACTGATCGTTGGGTTGGAAAATCAATTAGAGAATAGGTGTATTAACACAATAATTAAATACTACTTTACAGTTTGGCTTAGTATACAGTATCTCTCTATATTCAGTCAAAAGATGACAAGAGCCAACAAAAAGAAAAGACTTTGAGGCACATTTAAGATGTGCCATCTTAATATCTCAAGGTAGTTTCCAAGGGTGAAACATGACGACGGTGAATAGTTAATGGCCTTGTAAATTCGGGGCATTTGAAACTCAGTATCGCCGCTTGTTTTAAAGCTGACTTTTATAAGAAAATCAAAAAAGTCGACAAACGTGACGTTACAAAAGTATATAATAATAATAATTAAATCACGCTCAAGTTCGGTAAACGGCTTGTGCTATCATATTTAAACCGCAATTAGGACGCGTTTTATCGTGTAAGAGAGTTGATTATCAAGACGATGAAGGCCGTTTGAATTCTGTCAATAGTGCGACAAATGCATACCCAAAAATGGGCAAAAATGCCCAGTATTAATATAGACAATCTTATTGAGTGAATCCAATATTCCAGGACCTGTGGAACATCAGTTCGAATTTGAAATTCATTATTAATTAATCTTTTAAAAGTCGGAGGGTAATTTCGAAATAATGTCTGTTGGTAATTAACTGTCGACCACCCAATTAAAACAATTCAGAATTAGTTTGTAGAATCGATGAAAGCAAAAGCGCGCGAATTAACTATTACTATTGATTGCGTATCCTGCTCTGTCAATCGCTTTAATCTTTGTACATTTTTTCATTGTAAGTGAAAACCACATTCTAATTTCAATAATTTCATAGTCTCACGAGTTGTCAAATTATTATTGCCCATTAGCATCGTTACGAATAGAATTATATGTGTTTTTCGAAGTCTTTCAATAGTTCTTCAGCAAAAACAATTAATTTTTTGCTCAGATAGCTGCATCGAACGCACAATACAGACCAAATTTAATCTCTTGCTGCAAAACTTGCTATATTTACCGAATTCGTTCTTTGATAACTTGGTTATTTTATAAGCAACTTTATAGTATACGAGAATAGTTGACGTGTTTATCGAAGCCATTGT